ATTTTATATGTATGTGTGAAATTGCCTGAATGTAGGTAAGTGCACCCATGTCGTGCAATGCCTGTGGAGGCTAGAAGAGGCTGCCAGATCCCCTGGAACTGTAGTTAAGGACAGTTGTTAGCTGCCATATGGGAACTGGGATTCGAACCCAGGTCTTCTGCAAGAATAGTCAGTGTTCTTATCCGCTGAGCCATCTCTGCAGCTCCATTTATTTATATTTTTAAAGGGTATGTCTGTGTGTGTCTGTGTGTGAGTATGTGCCTGTAAGTGCAGAACCCAGAAGAAGCAAAGACATTGAATCCCAGGGAGCTGGAGTTATAGGTGGTTGTGAGTCATCCATTATGCTTGCTGGGAATTGAACTTGGGTCTTCTGGAAGAGTAGTATGTGCTCTTAATTTCTGAGCCATATCACTTAGACCATTATTATAAATTTTAGTAACTTTTATTTGATAAAATAGATTTACCATAAAAATCTCACTTTAGAAATTTTAAATCTATAGCTCAAAGGCATTAATTCCATTCACGATACTGTGCAATCATCACCAATATCTGTTTTCAAATTTCTTCATCACCCCAAACAAACATCGTACTTTAAAAAAATATTTTATTTATTATTTTTATTTTATGTGAATGAGTGTATTGCTTGCATGTTTGTGAGTGCACCTGTGTCGTGCAGAGCTGCGGAGGTCAGAAGAGGGCTTCGGATTCTCCAGGAACTGGACTTAAGGACGGTTCGTAGCCACCATGTGGGTGCTGGGAATCCAAACTGGGTCCTCTGCAAGAGCAGTCAGTGCTCATAACTGTGGAGCTCTCTCTCCAGCCCCTAAACATTGTACATTTTAAGCAATATCTCACTATTTACACAGCTACTGGTAATCTCTAATCTACCCTTCATCTCAATGACTTTCCTCTTTTCACACATTTCTGTAGGTGGGATCCTATATCATTTATCCTATGACGCCTGACTCTTTTCAGTTAGTCTACCATCTTCAGATTCGTGGATGCATTATGTATCAGAACTGTTCTCTTTTTGCATTTAGTTACATGTGAAATTATTGGTACATACTGGGGAAAAGAAATAACCATTTGATTCATTTTCTGGAAGGACACTATGAGGGTTTGAACCTACCAAAAGATACTTTAAAATATTTGCAACAAGCAGCATGTTGTAGAGAATGGCACCGTTTCTGAAATTTCATTATTTTTACAGCTCTTAGTAGATTTTCTCTTGGTCACTTCCACGCATTTTTAAAGTACCTTCTGATTCCTGAAACCTTCCACCTCTCTGATCTCCTCCCACTCCTATCATTCCTCAATCCTCCCTACAAGAGCCTGTCCCAAATTCATCTTTTTTTTTTTTTTTGAGACACACTGAGTTTAATCAAAATCATTTGGTTGAGCATGGATTTCCATTTTAAGCCTCAAGAAATGAAGAATGAGGTGTTTTTCAAGGTCAGTTATTATAGCATTGAAGGTTTTAGTAGAAACAGATAAGAGTCAAACACAGAAAGAAGGATGAAATGAAGTCAAAAGCAATGTGATGTCACTAACAATGCAGGAGAGTTTCGAAGTGCCAGTACCGCATTAATTTCTATTATTAAGAAATTATTTTTTGATAGTTTCATTTTTGTATATTATGTGCTTTAATCAAACCCATCCCCAATCTCTCTCCTGCAATTCTTCCCCTATCCCCCCCCCCACTTTTCTTTGGTAGCTTCATGTAATTCAATGCATTGAATTCATGAATTCATCAATGCTGCCTCTGTGGGCATGGGTATAGAACAATCATCTGGAGCATGTTTAGCCTCTCCAGGACCCTTCCGTGAAAAATCCTGAGTTTTGCTCTGGCAGCAGTCATCAGTTACCCACAGCTCCTCAGCTGGGGTGGGCTTCGTGAGCCCTTCCCTCTTTGACGCTGGGCCGGGGTTTTGGTTGATTTGATTTTTCACAGTTCTTGAGCATGTGGTTATACCTGATGTGAGTTCATGTGTGCGAAGCAGTGCCACGTTGTTAACGTCAATCAATATTTACATGCTATCAGTGTCCTACTTATAGGCATGCTCACTCTCCTGATATTGAATGACATTATTATACCTTAATCAAAACCAGACACCATTTACTGAATCAAATTTTGATTTTATTTGTTTTTCCACAATTCCAAGCCTCTCCACACATCTGTGGTCTATCAGATGAAATAATTGGAATAGGGTGATTGCAGCTTAGACACATCTACTGCAGATCATATCCTTTTTTTCTGTTTAAAAATAACCACAAAATATGGTTGCTCCAGCCAAGAGAGAACATTGAACCTCAAAGGAAAGCCTGAAGAGAGTTGACCTGACCTGGCTCCAACAGATGTTATCATTGTTTTCTGGGAGAAGAAGCAAAGAGTTTCTTCAGCCTTCAAGGTTGGCTTCAGCCTTGGGCAATAGAATTTTAGGCTTCCATTCCACATGACATTTGGCAATTTGTTTTGACTATAGGAAGAGAAGGACAATGAGTCCTTGGAGTTGGTGTATAATACTAAGAAAACATCGAGTGTCTCAGAGAGCAAAGAGTGATGATCTAGCATCAAAACAACTGACCAGGGAAACACACATTCTTTCCTTGGTTTAGTGAGGCTGAGTTTCCAAAAGCAAGGAAGGACTTCATAGACATTCCATCTCTACTGAGGTTAGATTTTTTCTAATGAATACTGTAATAATGAAAAAGAAATATAATGTTCCTACATTTCAACAAAAGATACTAGTACTATCTTTGATGCATTTAAAAATATCTCTATGATTTAAAAAGGCACCCCCCCAGTTTAAATTCCTTTAATGGGTTAAATATTGTATATATTAAATAACAGAACTATGGCTGGTTGGCAAACGTGTTTACTGAGGCTAGATAAGTTAGATAAGATTGTCATATAATTCTTAGATCATGTCTACATAGCCAATATAAATTTCTGATTAATTACTCCATTTTTATCTATATTAGTATTCAATTTATACTAAAAAGTAAGATTTTAAAAGTCTTACTCTCTTTCCCTTCAACTGTCATATTAGCTTTCTTTCATTTTTCTTGCAAAGGGCTTACTTAGCATTTATTTTCCTTCTTTTAAGAAGGTATATAAGTTGAAATCTGTCTTTAATCAACCATCCTCAAAGAATCTATATCCAATTTTCCCTTGCTAGGCATCCTGGAAGTCGACTGTGCTTGGAACTTGGTCTCCTCTAGTAGCTGGTCATTCTGGACACTGACCTTGCCATTTTGAATATGTAAATAACAAAGATCAGGAAATTAATACTTAAAGGATAAGTAAATTAGCATTATGAAAACAGCATTTAACACAAAACATTTTTCAATTCCATGTATTAATATATTTAAACTTAAAATTTACCACAATAATAGGATTTTCTCAAATACATGAACAACTAACAAGCAAAGTGTGGAGCTCCATCTGCTCTCAGTATGGAACACCAGTGATTAGAACCGAAGCCTCATTTCCAAAAGGAAGGATTTGATCTAATTACCAGAGGTATAAATGCTTCTACATATCAGAGTGCTCCTCTTGAAGAAAACACAAACCAAACAATTACAGGAGCAGTTCCACGCTTCTAATAGAGAGAGAACCTGTACGTGCGTATGTATGTCTATGTGGATGTTGCATTAAAGTTTTACAAGATGCCATAGCCACCTGAAGAAGGCAAATTTGATTTGCCATTATAAATTCTCAAATTGTTAAAATTATTTTTAAACTTTAATACTTATCTTTAGGTTTTATGTTAATATGTTATCTGTATTTACACTGATATTAAAAATCTCCATGGATCCCATTAATATATCATTTTATTAACCCAGGAGGGTCCAAATAATATTTTATACTCAAATTTCTCAACTCTTCATTCTTTAGTATGAAGAATTGGGTAAGATATGAGTAATATGCTTTGAAGTAATCATTTATTAGACCAAAGTACTTAAAACAATCCTCATAGTATTTTATGGCTTTGTCAGGTTCTCGCCCTTGTCACAGTTTTTCCCCTCTGACATAAACGCTGTGTCTTTACGCAGAAAAATGTAACCCTCTGGGTTGTATGCTTCCTGCTTGACTTTGCCCGTGGTGTTTACGTTATCTCATTTTATACAAAGTCATTTGTGACTAATTTCCAGAGCACTGAGTCACACTGTGACTGTTGCTATCTTTTCTTTTCTCCCACATGGCACAGCTCTTGACTTTCACATTTTGGTAGTTCTTTTATATAAATGAGCCTTTTCCATAATTAATTGTCACATTATATTATTGTGGGTGTATAATTCTATGTACTTTCTGTATCACCAGAAGCAAAATTTAATCATTTCATAACCACTGAAGAAAATGGCATTAACTCACATATATTTATCACTATTGCTTTAATTTATAAAATTGTACACTATAGAGATTTAATTCAAAATATTCTTAGTTAAGCATCTTAGAACATAAGCTTTGTTCTTTCACAGACTTGTGAAAATATTTCTTTAAAGAGATTAGTGGTGGTTTAAAATACTCAAATTATAAGAATTGTAATGTGTATGCTTTATCTGAAATATTATCAACTAACAGCAATATTTCTTTAAACAGAAGGCTGACAGGCATTCATTATTACAGCGTTTTATCTGTTACTAAGCAAATTTAAAGGCAAACAAACTTTCAAATAATTCCAGTTATCAGTGCATAATTTTATTAGTCTTAAAAAAAAAAGATGAAAGACTACATGTCACCAACGATGACTTACAGCCTCTGGTCTCAAACACAGAAATATTTTCCTAATACATTTTTTTCAAGAGCAAAATATAAATACTGAGAACTGAATTTTTCATTGTACTATGAGTCTACTTTGTTTATAAGGAAGAGCTGATTTTCAGTTTAGGAGAAGAGAGTGTGGTTCTCCTCTGACAAAATTTGCCTGCTTTTCTCCCAAGAAAAAGAAATAAAGACTATTTGTCATGATCTAAACAGTATTTTCTCAAGTACTCACAGCAAAATCTGAAGAAAGTTCTTGGAAAGATTTTGTTTCAAAATGGACTGGAGGTTAGTTTCTCTTCCATTTACTGTACAAAGAATTCTTCTCCACTTCGTTCCAGCAGACCAAGGAAGTAGGGAGTGGGGAACACTGGAAGAAAAGCAATCTGTTTCTGGGAGCAGAGGGAGGGTGAGGGAGGAATTTAAAGACTATTCGGCTAACGTCAGACGCTCTGTGTATCTGAGGAAAGAGGGAGTCCCGGAGTCTGCTTCAGAGATCACAGGCTGTTGGGAATAGCCTGGCTTCCTGTTAGGTCACGCCAGCTCTGACTCTACTCAGTCTCATTTTGCCAAACTATTCAGAAGTCCTTTTTTCCCCCCAAATGCAGGAAACAGATGAAGTAAAAAGCTTTTGCTAAGATTTCAGTCATGATCACTTTTAATATATTTTATTTTAGATTTTAGGATTCTTCTTATAAGAAATTTAAAAAGACTCACTCAGAATTTTTTTTCCAAAAGGTTACAACCATTTTATATTTATCACTCTTAATAGATGAGCTCTATTTGCAATTTGTGTCTTATCTTCTAATTATATCATCCACATGTCATTCTATTTAAAAAAAAAACCCAAGAGTTAGTGGTAACCCCACTAACAGCAACAATGTAATATTATATTGTCTTATGCAAAATACCAAGAGGTGAAGCCCACCTCCGCTGTTTGTAATTTAGCAAAGTTGAGTAAGTTACTTAAATTCTCTCTGCCTGTTTCCTTTCCCTTGAAATGGTGATTAATACATACTGGTGGTATAATCTTAGCACTACAGAGACTGAGGCAGGAGAATTTTGAATTTAAGCCATGGGCCACATAGCCAGACATTATCTAAAAAACTTCTCATGCTGGGCAGCAGGCTGAGTACAAAAGGAGTTGTGATTCTGCTTCTGCTCTGGTGCTGTCGTCTGCCTCTGTGCTGCTGCTGGTCCATGCCCTGGACTTTCCACCATCAGTGCTTCCTTCTCTCTCAGGTAACTGAAGAAAGTGTTCAGTATTTGGTATCCTAGAGGGCACTGCGTTAACTTTCGACCGCTCTATAGACCCTTCACAGGTAGAGAGAAAGTCAGCTATTCAGATTTTCTTTCTTGGAGACTTGACACAGGATGGGAAAAATGCATAATATACACCAGATTCTTAGCCCACATTGTGTATGAAGCATTGGTAGCCGTAATGGCAGGCCTGAAGACAGTTATGTGAAGACAGATAATTGAATGTGAATGATGAAAAGAATAGTAATGCAACACCTAAGAAATGACACGAAGGGGATGAAAACAAGACTAAGAGCAAGAAGGAGCTGACAGGTCTTGACCAAGTAATTCAGCGATAGTTCTTTCCTAACCCTCACTCCCCCTTTTCCCTGAATATTCATCTTTTAAAAATATTTTATTTATTATTTTTATTATGTGTGTGAGTGTATTGTCTGCAAGTGTGTAAGTGCGCATGTGTCGTGCAATGCACGCAGAGGTCAGAAAAAGGCCTCAGAGCTCCTGGATCTGGAGTTGCAGATGGTTGTTTGTCGCCATGTAAGTGCTGGTAATCCAACCCCAGTCCTCTGCAACAGCAGTCACTGCTTTTAACTGCTGAGCCATCTCTCCCGGCCTGACTGAACACTCATCTTTTTGCCTAAACCCATGTACAAATTCCGTTTATGGCTGGGCATATAACACATACCAAAAATCCCAGAACTTGTGAGGAAGGTCATGAACTTGAGGCCAGACAACATAGGGAGACCTTGTCTCAACAATGATGAAAGTCTTTTTCTTGCTATGTTAAGAATACTACCTGAAAGAGTACAGCTGAGATTATTTTCCTAAAGTTCATAGATATGTATTGTTAGTATCAATGAAAACTCACCATCAGTTTTTTTTCCAGTAACTTAAACTTGGCTGTACTTGTGCTCAGGAGCATGTGGGTGCTAGATGTTGAGGTGCTGTTGATGCATCAAGCTGAATTAGCTCAGACTGTTGTAAACTCAACACTTCTCTTATGTGAGATTCCTTTGTGGTTTCATTTGTAGCTTGCCAGTCCATCACATGTAATTCTAAGTCGAAACTATTTGGAGAGTTTGTTTTCATCAATGATTAAGCCATACAACTCTTTTATCTTTAACCACTCTGTATTTAGCCATTGTATCTGGTTGTTACCTGATTTCACATAATGCTAACTGTTCTCTTTTTCGTTCTGGGTCATATTCTGTTCTTTATTCAAACACAAACACTGAAGAACATCTAGGCTGTGCATTTGAGCTTGTACATTTCCTAGGCAGGATGAAAAATAACCTTTGTATTGCTTGCTGTACGTATCAAGAGACATGCCCTGATTTTGTCCTTTAGGAATCTTTCTATTTGCAGTGTTACTACACAAACATTACCATTACCTGAACAAAAAAGTCTGACTTTTAATTTTTAAGTCTGAACTCAAAGGGCATTCGTTCCCCCCACCCCTGATATCTCTTGGAACTGTCTCCTAGAACTGTGCTGATGGAAGTGTCCCTGGAACTCTGTTTCTGGAACTCTGTCCTTGAGTCAGACTCACCCATGTTTTTATTTAAAATGGTTTCTCCATCTCAGTATGAGTTTGGATCCATCTTTTTCTTAATAGACAATCCTGTCTTTTCATCTCTAGTTCTAGAATATCTCATTCTTCCAAGATCATATATCCTTCCCAGTCTTCACTATGTGCAATGAAGGTGGGTGCAGTCTTTCAGCACTTTGATATATTAATTCTCAAGCATACCCATATTCATTCATATCTTTTTGCGTGGAGTACCAAACTGAGGTTTCCAAGGAAATGAGCTCAGAGGCCCAGGTCATAAGACACAAAAGCACATGGTTTTTCTGAGGTTAATTAAAAGTCATTAGTCCAAATTATGTCCATTTTATAAATGGCATTCCTGTATCCATAAATAGTATCTAAAGCTTCATCAAGTTCATCAAACTCTCATGGCTGAGACACAGTCTGGGAAATTGGCTCTTCAATGAAAGGAAGACATAGAATAGACATCACTGAAATCAGGAAGCACATGGAGCATCATGATAAATAACAAAATGAATTTAAATTTTGTCAAATCAAGCGTTCATTCATTTCATCCACTTCTATTTTAAAGTGTGTGAAAGGTTAGATGCTCTGTTATTTTGTGTGTTAATTACTTTGCACATGAAGTATGACCCCAGAAGTATTTAACTGGATTCCAGATAGAACTGATCAAGTTTCACTTTTTTTTCTTTCTTTCTTTCTTTTTTATTTTTGTATATGAGTGTATTGCCTGCATGTATGTTAGTGCACCCATGTTGAACAACAATCCACAGAGGCCAGAAGGAGTGTCAGATCCCTCTTGGAACTGGAGTTGCAGATGGTTGTTAGCCACCATGTGGGTGCTGGGTATGGAATCTGGGTCCTATGGAAGAACAGCAAATGTTCTGAACCACTGGGTTATCTCTTCAGCCCCTCAAGCTTTATTTTTGTGTGGTCTTCATCCCAGCCCATAGCAGTCTCTCCTCCCTCCATCTGCATTCTTTTACCCAGAATCTAAACCATACACCATTTATGGTTTACTTTTTGTGAGGTAATGAAACTTTAGGCTTCATACTCTCATATTTGCTGGTGTAGAAAATGCAACTTTGCTAATTTTAGGAGATTTATCATATCAACTTGATTTTGCATCAAATTTGACCACTTTTTATTGAATACAGTCAACTCAGATGTCTCCTAGTCTCATCTCTCTCTATCTGCCTAAGGTACTTAGAACTTGATGAGTGTTTAGAGATGACCCATAGCCTATTTACTGCTCTCTGTTCTGCCTATCTTCTTTGAGAAAAGATCATTCAATCTGGTCATATCTATTATGATTCAGCCAAGTTCTGAATTTAAGTACATTTTCATTTCAGATCATTATTTTTGCAATTTAAACTCTTGATTTTTATGTGTCTTCTCTCCTTTGAAAACTAGCATTCAGTGAGTCATGCAAACTCCTGCTTTCTTCTTAATTTTATCTACCTGGGATAAAGAATAAATCCTAAAGTAACATGAAAATATATTCACGTGTTCTTAAACTGAAGCACCACCAGTACAATCTACCTGCTGCATTTTTATGGAATACTGAGTATCACATTCACCTAAACAATACTTGAGATGCCTAATATTAAGTATGAATTGAAGTCAGAGAATCTGCATGAATACTTTTCCCTTAATTTTTCTTAGCTATTAAATACTTAATTTTTAAAATTATAAACAACTTTATAAAACAAATCCATCTCATATGAAAGTAGGAATAATTATCTATCATCTATCTATCATCTATCTATCTATATATATATATAATCACATATATATCAACATATATACCAGGGAGAAGAGGCATAATTAGCTTCCTTTCCTCTTCCTTTTTGTGATGATTATAATATTTATTCATACATATTTTCGTCCCCTCTCCCTGGGTCCCTCCTTAGTAACCAGAAAGAAGAGTCTATTTCCTTGACATCAGATCTTGCTATATTGCTAACCTGAGCAAATAGAATTAGCAACAAATATATGTAAATGACAGCTTCATGGACTTTATTAGCTTTATGGACAGTTAAGAGTTTTATATTCTAAATTTTTGTCCATTTACTCTAACAGATAATTGATAAGTTTGAGATAAGCACTATTCTTTCAAACTGGAGCACAATAAAGAGGGAATAGGCCATCAAGCAGAAGCTCCATGAAGGTGATTGAAAATGTATCCTCTGTTTGTGAATGGTCTAAAGATTAGGGGTTGTTTGTTGCCAAGATTAGCTCAGGCAAAATGCATAACATATTCTTCAGTCCTGTGCTTAATTGAAGATACATCATCTTGACTGCCCATGTCTGACATCTGAAGTAACTTGGACCACCAGATGCTATGATGTTTATTTCTTGGGCACCATCTGCTTTCTTTTTCTGTATACTACAATGCAGGATATGAAGTAACATCAGGGGAATATTAATTAAATCTGGGGCAAATCCCAGATTTAAATAGCAATTAATGAAACAACAGAATTAAGCAGAAACCTATTTGAAATACATTGAAGATTAAAGTAAATTCCTGTTAGGCAATGCAATAGCAACAGAAAGCTTTCAGGAATTTTGTGGTCATGAGCAAGATGAATCCATCTTAAGAAAATTCCATCCTTTCAAACTGAGTTGTATTTTCTCAGGACTATCAGAATAACTGTACCATTTTGAACTTGAGCAGCATAATCAAAATG